ACATTTGTTCGGATTTGCAGGGGCTAAGAAAAAGTAGGGAAGTGGAGCATGTGAGAATAAACCTGATCATGGGAAACAAGAATTCATCACCAGTCACCAAGATCGGAGTTTATTCTTTAGTGTGAGTAATGGGTTAGGGCTAGATTTAAATAATTGTTGCTATTCGCCAGATATGGCAAGGAACATCATTTCGTTTCATGCATTATATAGACAAGGTTTCAGATATTCATTGGATAATAGTAATGGTTCTATTAATGTTTATTTGAATGGTGTTTTTTATTTCAATGCATTACCTTCAAATGGGATTTATGAATCTGTGTTAATTGTTGATAATTTGGAAATGATGTGTTGAATATTGATTCGTTCTAATAGTCTAGACAAAGCATGCTTGTGGCATTGTCGCCTTGGCCATGTGAACAAGAAACGCATAGCCCAACTCCAAAAGGATGGAGTCTTGGAGTCATTCGACCTTAGGGACGATGAAGTGTGTGAATCTTGTTTACTTGGGAAGATGAACAAGTCACCCTTTACTGGCACATGTAAAAGGGGTGAGGGTGTATTGGATCTCATACATACTGATGTGTGTGGACCCTTTAGATCCACCACAAGGGACGCTTGTCGCTTCTACGTAACTTTTACAGATGATTATAGCAGATATAGGTATATCTCCTTAATCAAGCAAAAGTCGGAAACCTTTGAAAATTCAAAGAGTTTAAGAATGAAGTAGAGAATCAGCTGGGCAGGAAAATCAAGATGCTTCGATCTGATCGAGGGAGGAGAGTATCTAAGTCTTGAGTTTCACGACTATCTAAAAGAATGCGGAATAGTTTCGCAATTGATGCCTCCTAAAACGCCACAATTGAATGGTGTGGCTGAGAGACGTAATCGAAACTTGTTGGACATGGTTCGTTCTATGATGAGTCGGGCTTCGTTACCAATCTTTTCTGGGGGTATGCCTTAGAGACTGCCGCCCATATCCTTAACTTAGTTCCCACCAAGAAGGTTGCCAAAACACCTCACGAGATGTGGACAGGGAAAGCTCCCTCGTTAGCACATATCAAGGTTTGGGGGTGTTGTGAAGCTTCGTAGACGAGAGACTCACGACAAGCTAGAACCTCGTAGTGAGAGTGTTATTTCATCGGCTATCCACAGAAGTCTTTTGGCTATCTCTTCTATAGACCAAGTGACAATGTTGTCTTTGTTGCTAGGAGAGGGGTTTTCAGAGAAAGAGAACTCATAAGTCAAGGAGACAGTGGGAGTCAGATTGACCTTAAAGAGCTTCAAGAGTCAGGAGATGAAGGAACCTCTGACACTGGCGTTCAACCTGAGGAGGAAAACTCTGTTGAACCATTGATCAGTCCTTACCTCTTAGACGTTCGAGTAGAGTTAGTGTTCCACCCCAGTTGTATGGTTTCCATATTACTACTGAAGGGGATACGTTTATTAGTGATAGTACACTAATAAATCTGGACGAACCTAATAGCTACAAGGAAGCCATGGCAGGCCCGGAGTCTGCTAAATGGAAAGAGGCAATGGACAGCGAGATTCAGTCCATGTATGACAACCAAGTTTGGAATTTGGTTGATAATGTACCAGGTCGTAAGACAGTCGGGTGCAAGTGGATCTTCAAGAAGAAGACGGACATGGATGGGAAAGTGCACACTTATAAAAGCGGATTGGTCGCGAAGGGCTTTACTCAAACTCCTAGAGTTAACTATGATGAGACCTTCTTGCCAGTTGCTAAGATAAAGTCTATTAGGGTAATGCTCGCAATAGCTGCGTTTCATGACTATGAAATATGGCAGATGGACGTTAAAACTGCTTTCCTTAATGGGAAGTTGGCTGAGGATGTTTACATGAATCAGCCAGAGGGTTTTGTCAATGCGAAGCATCCCAATAGAGTGTGCAAGCTTGAGAAATCCATTTATGGATTAAAGCAAGCGTCTCGCAGATGGAATCTTTGTTTTGACGAGAAGGTCAAAGAGTTTGGTTTTTGCGAAGCGAAGATGAATGTGTTGTGTCAAGGCCAGTGGGAGTATAGTGAGCTTCCTCGTATTGTATGTCGATGACATACTACTCATAGGAAACGACATCCCAACCTTGCAGGAGGTCAAGTCCTGGCTTGGGAAGTTTTGCTATGAAGGACCTCGGAGAGGCTGCATATTCTGGGAATAAGGATAGTGAGAAACAGAAGTAAGGGACTGATAGGACTCAGTCATGATACATACTTGGAAAAGGTACTAAAGCGTTTTAGTATGGAGAATTCCAAGAAAGGGGAGTTGCCAATCAATGCAATACCAAACTGAGTAAGACTCATAGCCCGAGTACAGAGGCAGAGATAGCTGATATGAGCCGAGTTACCTTACGCTTCCGCAGTTGGCTCGATTATGTACGCTATGACCTGTACTCGCCCTGATGTGGCCTTCGCTTTGAGCATGGTCAGCAGATATCAGGGAACCCTGGTAGAGCACATTGGATGCTGTCAAGAATATTCTTAAGTACCTCGAAGGACCAAGGAATGGTTTCTAGTCCTCGGTGGGAGTGATGACTTAAGGGACGAGGGTACAGTGACGCTAGTTTTCAGACGGATTGGGATAATTACCGATCACAGTCAGGCTGGGTCTTTACCCTGAACGGAGAAGCAGTGACTTGGAAAAGTTCCAAGGAAGAGACCGTAGCTGATTCAACGTGCGAATCAGAGTACATTGCGGCAAGCGAGGCGTCAAAGGAGGCCATATGTTGTTGAAGAACTTCATAGGAGACCTTGGAGTTGTGCCATCCATAAAGGAGCCCATGGAAATTTTCTGTGATAATGAAGGAGCGGTTGCCTTGACCAAGGAACCAAGGGATCATGGCAGATCTCGACATATCGACAGGAAATACCATTTTATAGACATCGGGTAGAAGAGGGACTCCTCGTTGTGAAGAGGGTATCGTCAGAAGATAACCCAGCAGATCCCCTTACGAAGGGACTGAGTAGGGTCAAGCATTTGCAGCACGCTAGGAGCGTTGGGCTAAGGACGATATTAGTTTAGATTAGATAGGTAGGAAACTTGTAATGGATAATTTTGTATTCACATTTGATGATTAAATAAAGTGTGTGTTATTTATAAGAAAGGTACTATCTTGTGTTACTTATTTCTCTATTGTTTCTATTTTGCATGTTTTTGACTTCCTGAATATATAAGATTATTCGAACAGTCCACAATCGCTCATATGTGGAAGTAGATATGAAAGAAGATTGTCATGAATTTGTTTGTAGATTGTCTAAAAGGTTTTAGACATAGCAAAAGTTTGCTACAAAGTTTATGAGTGCTTATGAAATATGATTTGAGCATTGGAATAAACCGCACTTGCAAGTATACTTTTCATGGAGTTATCACAAGTGATCGCAAGATGATAATATCATATAATCTTTAAACCTAGAGATATGGTTATTGTTTGCTGGTTGATTATGCATTGATAATACGGAAACGCATCAGTAACTTGATGTTATAAAACGTATTATTGTGTGATTGACTAGTAGTGGATAATAAAAGCATATAAGTCGAAGTTTATCTGTTCCTTTTATCTAAGAGGATAAAAGCGATATCTGGCCACTTGATGATTTGGTTTGACTTATGTGTCGGGCCCGGTCAGAGATGAAGTTGATGTGTTCAACTAAATTCTATGTCAAATAAATCGGAAATCAAGGAAACAAAATGCTAGACAATAAGTATTGTTACATGATATCTAGAACAGAGGATTATACGATCACTTATCTAAAGGACAAGATTTGATCAGAGTTGACAACAGCGTATAAGAGCTACGATTGCTAATCGGATCCTGAAGACATATGTGAGATATAGTTACTAGACTTATCCAAGTGGGAGACTGTTGGATTAGTGTCTAAGCCCGTAACTATATTTGGTATGTACTTGACCCGGTTGTGCATGGTCCTTTTGGGTTGCCTTCACCAGAGCAACTTGACAAGGTAATTTGATGTGAGAGACAGAGAGAGGATAATATGATTTATTAATATATTATAAGATAATATATTAAAGGAGAAATCATATTTATTTAGTTAGTATTAGTCATAAATTAATTAGGAATTAATTTGATGACTAAAGAAATTAATTAAATAAAGGGGCATAAACTGTCAAATTATGATAGTTGAGTTTTGGGCTGGGAAACCTAATGGACTAAGGGGGAACGAAATTATGATGAAGGATCATCATATTTTCGTCCAAGGCCCTATTCCAGAAGGTTCCTTGGGCTGCTTGGTGACTAAGCTGTCCATTAGGGTTTAGACTGAAACCCTAGCAGCCTACAGTATAAATAAGACCCTAGCCTTCAATTTTCGGCCACTTGCTTCCCAAGAGAAACCCTATGCCGAAATTAAGCATCCTCCCTCCTCTCTCATATTGCCTTCTTGCTTGTGGTGTTTGTAACCCATTAGAGAGTTACAATTGTGACTCTAAGCTCAAGAAAGAAGATTCAAGCTTCCATTGAAGAGGTAAACCTCTAGATCTGATGTTATATGTTAATTTCGAAATTATGTATGCTAGATTAGGGTTTGCAAGTCTTGGATTCATTGCATCTACAATAGAGAAACCTAGATCCAAGCATTAGGGTTTGTATGAGCACATAGGATTGTTCTTATGCATAAAACCATTCATTAAAGCCCCTGTCATAAATGAAGATGACACGCATTTGTGTGTCATAAACTTCAACAGCCATTTACGATATGCATTTACGAGTGCCTTTACGTTTATTCATTTACGCATAACAAAATATGGAAAACAAATTACTATAACAAAATAATCAATTGATCCATAACAATCATGTCAAACAAGTATCAAAATTGAAATCACATTGATATTAATCTGATAGTACATTGTTATTAAAGGGTGTTTCCCTAAATATATAACTTGAATCACATCCCTAACTATATAACCTGATCCTTCATGTCATTGGTTTGCCAGTGGTTACCTTTGTACAATGAAAAGTTGAACTTGGTGTCACTTAGGCGGCTGACCACCGGGCGTGGCTGGAAGTAATTTATCCTTACATTGTTTTTCTGTTCTAACTATCTCCAGTAGTGGCATCACGTGAGCTAGACTGTAATCATTTAATAAGAAAAAAAAAAGTTAATATGAGTTCAAAATTGCCTATACGATGTAGACATATGGATTTTGTCATGTAACCTGAAGAAATGTGCCCCAATAACTCGATCTTGAGATTTTATTTTTTCTCCAATTAAATTGAGGTCCAATGGTGGATGGTTGGTTGCTAAAATGCAATGAGGGGAAAAATGTTTTCAATTTCACTGAAGATCTTTTGCTTTAAAGGGAATGTTCTCAATTACAGCTTGTATTCACCAATAGAGTGCCAAATTATGTCTTTTATAACGTTACATTTTTATGTGTTTTTAAAGATCATACCTCTATAACCATATCTACATCTTTAAATTGTGAGTAATCCAAAACCCCATTAACCAATGACAATGCCTTTCACCTTGACCCTGTGGTAGCTTCTTCCTTGCAACCAATCCTTAACATTTGCTGAAAAAGTCATCAAATATATAACCAATAAGTCACATACTATCAAAGTGGATACAAAATATAAGAGATAAACTAACTCTACCCTCTATTGTTTTTATCCCTTTTGAAGATACTCAGAGTTGACTTCCTTGAGAACAACTTTTTTATATTACCAAGGATAAGGGCCATTGCTATTCCAGACCCCATTAAACCTCCACCAATCACATCAACTTTCTTCACCTTCTTTTTAGCTTTAGACACCATCAGAACTTTAGGTACTGTAAATGTAAAATCAAAGAAAAAATCAATTTATTTTTGTAGAAATTTTGATATTTCAGAAAACAAAATAAGAGAAAAAGGTTTACTTTATTACCTTGAGATTGCACGTTTGTGCAAAGCATTATATGAACAAGACCTTCGATGTGTCTGAAAAACAACCAGCCTCTAGGAACACCTTCCCCTCCTGAGGAACAAAATTTTTGCATTATTAGAGTAATTGATAAAAAAGTTAATTACAAAAATGGTCCTGTGATTTCTTCGATTAACCGCGTCTGGTCCAAAAATGAAATCTTTCTTCATTTTGGTCTTATTTCAAAGGTTCCACGGACCACACCCTTGAAAAAGAATCAACATTTGAAAAGGGTTTCACGTTTTGACTATACTAGGTAAGTTTTTAATCAGAAAGTGCAAGGACCATTTTGTAATTTACTCTAGATAAAATAGGGTATATAGTAACAACTAGCATCAAATCAGTTAATCCACTTTAAAATACAAATCCAAACACAAAAAAGAAGTAATAAAAATACCTTCAAAACCGCCTGCATACCCTCCTGAAACAATACTTCCTCAATCACATCAAGGCAAGCTTTGTGTTGGGGCAAATTGGGAAATGTACGTTTGACATTTTGTCTAGCAGCTTTAATAATCTCACGTGCTTCTAAGAGGGACCCGATTTTGTCTGTGCAAATGAAAAGGACGCGGGCCCACGGTCTTACGGCTTTCAGCAATGTCTAATGCCCATTTCTTTATCCACTTTCAACAATTCTTGAGGAGGGAAATAGCATCAATTAGACCTAACTTTTCTCCCTTCCTAAGAGAGTATTGGTTTAGATGTCTACAACAACAAGATTCATAAATAATTAATCGATCCTGTGTTTAAATATTCATAATCAGTAAATACTAAATAGTATTCAAGGAGAGAGGAGAGAGAGAGAGATGTGCTCACCAACATCATATCAATTGCCTTTGATAATCCCAAAAGCCTATGGAAGTCTTTGGGTACTTGAAAACATATTTTCCATTATTTAGTGAAATCCCCATTGTATAATCATATTAACTAAGGTTTGTGTTGTTATTTACCATCATTTCTAAACAGAAAGGCTAAAATGGTAAATTAATCAGTGTCGGATAACTGATTTAGTCTAAAAAAGAATCTGTCTTTTGCATATACAATATTTTTATCCATATAGGACTTACATAGGGGAAAAAAGAAACATGTATTTCTTTTTGACTTGATGCAAAAAAGAATGACTTAACAAAGAAAGTTAGAAAAAGAAGGCTTTTCATGTCAAGTTTCAACTTTTTACAAACTGCCTCATCCCTCATTTATTTTTTTCCTTTTCCTTTTTCCTCAAATGTGTTTTGGATTTCTCAGATAGTTTTAAATATGATTCATTCAGACATACCTCCAAAGCCTGGCATAACTCCAAGAGAGAATTCAGGTAAGCCAAGTTGAGCTCTTGGAGCTGCAACACACGCATGGCATCCCTACATTAATCAAATACATTAAACACACATTTACCATAACTATTTTTTTTTAAATAATTTGACTCATAAAAACTACAAACCATTGCAAGTTCTAAGCCACCCCTGAGTGCAAGTCCTTGTACAACAGCAACTATGGGTTTCTTGGCATCTAGGTGTACCCAAAAAAGAAAAAAAAAAGAAATTGTGTCAAGAAATGTAGACATAAATACAAAAACTATAAGATAAATTGAAAGTAAAAACCTTCAATTGTGTTGGTCTCAAGGGCAACAGTACATCAGGTAGTTGAGAAATGTCTCCTGCAATGACAATGGTTAAAGTTTCAACATGGATTTGAGGAACAGAATAGATTAGTAGCTTCTTGCATATATGATGGATAATGAAGTCATACCAGTCTTGTGAACTTTCTGAAAAAAATTGATGTCAAATCAACCTGAAAATCTTCCATTCTTGCCTTCATAAAGTAAGAGAAATGAAATTAAGTCATGTAACAGTTTGACTACAAATTTAGTAAATGTATGATCCTTGTAAATGCCTTCATAAAGTAAGAGAGATGAAATTAAGTCATGGAGTCGTACGAGTTTGACTACAAATTTAGTAAATATATGCTCCTTGTAAACCAGAAGTAATGGATAGAAAACATTATTCTGCAAGAACTACAAGTGAGTAAAAATTAAAAATAAAAAAGAATTTAGGATTATGTACCCACGAGAAGAGCCTATCCTTTCATATTAAGTAGTTTCTCTGAATAGGAGCTTATTGACAAAGCATCGGTGATAGTTCCCAATGCATTGGTTACTGACTCATGCGTTTTCTGTTCAAGAATCTCTGCAGCCAGCTTCAGATAATTTGAGACTTTCTGCCAAGGGCAATTTGGGAAATTAGTTTCAAAGGCAAAACATGCATCAAAGCTACATGAACCATGTAGTTAGTTACCTGTGCCTTTTGCAGGCCTTCTGTAGCTTCAATTATGATTCTCCTATCCAAGCAAACGATCTCCTCAGACTCCAAGCATTGTTTATAATAGTATGAGCAAAGCTACCTCTCCTAGAAGTAAAAGACAGCCTGAAAATAAGATGTAAAAAGATAATTAGATTATGAGTTTTCCTATCTCATAAGTAACTGACAGCTAGAAATCTTACTTTGCAGATCTTAAGTTGACATTCATGAAATTGGGATCTAATGCAACAGCCATTCTACAGTCGTTTAGACCTTCCCTCATTCTTCCAAGAGCCATGCGTATAGCTGCACGATTGCTATAACACAAAAGAAGAGGTTTTATACAAACGACAGGTGTCTCTATATGTTGTATTGAACTAATACCCTTTGAATAACATACTTCAGCTTCTGATAAATTCCACTTCTTATAAGCCTGTTCCCCTTCACAAATCAATTTATTTTAGAAATCAAAAGCATATTAGGTTTATACAAATGTAAAATATCAAAAAAAGGGGGTGGGGGGCTAAAACAACACTTTTTCGCCAACTGTCACATGTTTCTTGATCTGTAGCCTTTGTGTTCTCCCTGTTACCAGGTTTATGAGAATGGGACACATTAACACGACCGGTTCTCAACTTATACTTCTTCTGATGTGGCCGTTGTCTCACTGCCATGTCAGCACTAGCAAAAGATGTAACAGAAGGTGAAAAGTTTTGGGCCCCAAGCTTCTCTGTAGTATCAATATCATCTTCATTTTGAACCTGAGAGGTTGTAGGGTTTGTAGAAGTCGAATTACTTCTATAACCATTTTCGATATAACCATTTTCGATATTTAGTAACTAAAACATCGTAAATATACACAAAACAATTATCAAGTTTTTAGCATACTCATTTTAATCATCTGATTATTTTGATTCGTTATTATAATTCAAAGAAGAATTGTTCCAATCCATTCCCAGTGTTCAATAAATTTACTTTGATTTGTATTCTTCTCAATTGATAAAGAAGTGAAAATACAAACAGAGAAGAAACATAAAGAATGTACCTTTTGGGACTGGACCAAGAAGGAGCAGGATCAGATGGGTATCGTTGACGGGCGGAGCGTGGGTCGGCGACGGTGGCGGAGAGGAGAGATGAGTGATATGGTAATCCCTAAAAATCAGACCCAAAAATTTCTATATCGGGTTTACAAATAAACAAACCTCGCTTTTTTCCTTTTTGTTAGAACTAAGCGAAGGTCAGATGACGGCGGCGATAGTGGTAACTGATCTCTCCATTGTCGATCGACATGTGAGTAATGGAGTAGTAGTGGTGGCCATCATCTCCATTGTCGATCGCAGATGTTAAGGGAGGGGGATAACGAACCCTAGAAGGCCATTACATTGAGCAGTCGCACATTTAGAGAGTGAAAGGTAGTGAAGTGGTGCATCAATGGCTATTGTTTTAGCGATCCGGTGGGGAACTGTGGTGGTCCGATAGGAGCGGAGGCAAGAGCGGATGAACCTGGTTCAGAAACCAGAAGGGTGATTAGGGTTTTCCAGAGAGAGAGAGAGAGAGAGAGAGAGAGAGAGAGAGAGAGAGAGAGAGAGAGAGAATGCAGAGGTAGAGGAAGAGGGCTGCTTCAAAAGGATTATTAGGGTTTTTTGTTTGAGGATTTTAGAAGGAGAAGAAGGAGATGAATAAGGCGAAGAAGGATTATTAGGGTTTTTTGTTAGAGGATTTTAGAAGGAGAAGAAGGAGATGAATAGGCGGTTTAATTTTTTGGGATTTCATTTCCCACTATAGATTATTAAAACAACGGAGAACGCGCCTTTCTAAAAAATATAAAACGACACATTTACACGACACGCTTTTTATGATAGGTGCCCTCCGTGTTTTTAATTTTTTTTTGTTGGACACTAGTTTTAGGGCACGGAAAAATGCGTGTCCTCTATCCTTCAATTTTTGGAAAACTGACATTAGTTTTTAGGGCACGCACAAATGCGCGTCCTCTATCGGTGTGTGTCATTAATTGCACGTCGTAAAAAGCTGTTTTCCTAGTAGTGACATTTAAAATTGGAGACAACTACAAATTCTTAATTTACAATGCCATGTATTATAATTATTTAGTAAGCTAGAAATATAATAGTGTATAATTTCATTTCCTTGTTTTTTTTTATATTTTCTCTATTTTATTACTTTTAACAACAATCGTTGGAATTTTGCATGAATTGAAGTAGTTGCATTAAAATGTGTTCTACAACATGCACATATGATGTTGTTTCTAAAATTTGTATATATTATATATATTATATATATAATATATATATATATATATATATATATATATATTATATATATATATTTTCATATACAGATGCACATTTTAACAAAAAGATTGCATATGCTTGAAGAGGTTTTTTGATATACACATGACATGTTGAATAGGATTTTTATTTTAGAAGTGTAAGGTATAACTTTTGGGCACTTCTTGACGCCAAACTACAATGCCTAACAAAAATGATCATGATTATACGCTCCAAATATTTAAAAGATTATATGTTGTGAAAGTGTATTACTTATATACCTTGTATCAAATGGAAGTGAAATGCATGTACTATTCATGACATAATAATTCCTGGATGTTTAAATTTGTGTTATAGGTGGAAGTAACTGTATCATCAGAGATGGAAGAAATTTTGTGAAATGGAAAATAAGTAAATATCGTACTCTGCACATGTTAAACAAATCAAAGCAATATAATTTTATTTATTATTATTCATGTTAGCTAATGTCGAAATTTATGTTTCATTGTAGGAGAGATTTTCATACATCAAATAATGTTAACATTGATTTTGATGGATTATAATCATTGTAGGAGAGGATATAGTTTGTATTTTACATATAATATTCTTCTCATCATATTTGGCTCCTCTAATATAATAATTGAGATAGTGTGGTTCTTCGTTTAGCTCCGTATTATATATGATAGAAAATGTATGATTGTTTAACATGAATTTGTCCTCTAATAATTGTAATAAACCCTTGATATACTACAATAGACCTTCCCCGTTCGATGATGAAAATCATATCCTATGTTCCACTTTATAGTAGATATGTAAGAAGCCTTAGACAAAGTATATTAAGTAATAACAGTCCATGAAATATATTGAAAAATTAGTTGTATATAAAAAATTCAATAAATTTCTAAAACATTTAAATATAACGTAGATTCAAAGATATATATCTAACAAATAGTCCAGATATAAATAAAAGCTAAAGTAACACCACGATTTCATTAACATTCTTTGACCAACAAATGTTATGGTTATATTTATTAATAAGTTTCATAAGTTGATAAATTTGACTTCATTTTTTCATAAATGAAGGTCAATTATATCTCAACGTTAACAATTTGTCTTGCCATTAAATTTGATTATTTTAAAACAAATTTGTTACCAAATCTGGTAGAACTTGGTTTACGAAGATATCACAACCTTTCTCCGAGAGGTGGATACTATCCCAAAAAAAGAACTTAGAGTCGTCGTGGCACGTTGTGCTAAGTTTGTTACATAAAACAAGTGTCTCTATCTCACCGGTTCCACAACAACCTTTATCTGTAACTTCCAGACCTGGCGAAAGGAAGAAAAGAAGAAAATGAAAAGGTTATTGTAATGTGAAAGTATATTCCAAATTGATGAATAGATGAATATATGCCTAGACACATAAAGTAAACTATGCAATTATTATTGTATTTTTCTATAGTTAACTTCATTTAAAAACATAGTTCATGTTATTTCTACCATTTGTAACTTGTACTTTCCATTTCAAAACAAAGATATGTGGAAAACTAATTACACTAAGAAAATATCATTATGAAGAAATTATCAAAATTATAACCTTAGTTGCATAATCAACTTTATATAATATATATCTATATATTATTTATATATAATATATTATATATATATATTATATATATATAAAAGAGAGAGAGAGGGGGATTAAGATCAAATAAGAAAGAAAATTTTTTGGCAAGAAGGTAAGAAAATATTTATATATACATATTTTTTTGCAAAAAAAAATAAATAAATAATTAGATGATTCTAAAATAAGATTATTCAAAAAAAAATCCCAAAAAATCAACAAAATTATCATAAAATTGAATCATCGAATTGTTATTTTAGGATTTTTATTTTTTATTTTTTATTTTTGTGAATAATGTTATTTTTAATTTATCTAGTGATTTATTTGGTTTTTTCGTCAAAAAAATATGCAAAAAAAAAAAACACCCTTTTGTACCTCTTAACGGAATTGTTATATTCCTTAATTTATATATATTTTATATATATTATCCCTATAATTATATATTTTATAATAATCATATTTACATATTGTTGAGGGGCTTCAATGATTCTAATAAGAGGATTGTAGAAATCGACAAATGCAATCCTAGCCTGAGGAAGATTGCTTGCTAGAAATTGAAGTTGTTGTTTTAGCATGGCGTTGAACAATTGTACCGCCTTATTATCCATTTCTGAGAGGTTCGTAGTGCTCCTCCAGCTAAAGTTCTTTGTGCTGGTAAGCAACCGACTGGGGGCCCACTAAGAACAACTAAACTTTTCTATCTGCCCCATCAAGTGTGTGGATTCCTTCATGAAATTTAAAGAAAGAACCATAGTGAATAATCTCATTTATGTATGTGGCTATATTACGTGTTGGGGCTAGTCCATTTGATTAAAATGGTTTTTAAGAAGGTGTTTCAAACTAGGAGATCCTCGATTCAATCCCAGAAATAAACTCGTCTTTCCGAAGGAAAACAATTTCTTGAATTTTTGTATTAAAAAAATCATATTCTTGAATTTTTTTTACGAGATAATCACAAACAATGACCACATATTTATTCAAAATATAGCAAATTTACCAATTTTTTGGGAGTTGTCAATTTGACCACCATCTCTAAAATGGGGCACTTTAGGTTCCGGAGAGTATATAACCTGGATTTGTCTCCCATATGCTCTCAACACATGAAAGCAATTCCTCTTCCTTTTAATATGTAATGTTTTTTTTTCAACTAAATGGCTCATTTCTATGTCCTTGTATCCTAATCTTCTTTGGATTTGGTGCTTTTCTTTAACTTTCTTTTTATTTCAATAAAAAAACAAAGGGCTTTATTTAGATTTAGGAGTCGTTGCTCGTATATGGGATATGTTCTTCAAATTTCAGAATACGCTTTTTACTTTGTCTATAATGTTTAGTCCAAAATCCGATTTTTGAACTTGAAATATACTTCTTTTGTCAGAATTAAGAGTTCTATGAAAGTTACCAATCTGGAACTGATGGTCATTTCTGTATTTGCAAAAAAAGTTTGGTCAGTTATAAAAGATTTCGTAATCATGTGGTCATTTTTTGTGATAATCCCAATATTTTCTCTTTGTTAAGAAAAGTATAAATATGTGCGGAAACATTTGATACAATTACCGACAAAAAAATAGTCTTAAGGAAAACCAATAAAAGAAACATATTACCTGTACAAAATTAACAGCCAGCTTTGCCAGCATCTTATCATAAGTCGGAACATCATATTGAACTTTTCTAATAGGAACGGTAGAGTAACTTATAAAAAAATCATTGGTGCTTGCTGAAATTAGATATACACTTTTGGTCAGTATATTCTGGGTAGCATCTCCTCCCACCATCTTTTTGAGTTTCTCAATGTATTGGTTGAACATCTCAAGTTGATCCGATAATGGTATAACAGACTATTTTCCATACACATTCCAATTGGCACATATAAGAAAATGTTTCAACTATTAGTGAAAAGGGTAGGAATTAAATAGTACAATTAAAAAGAAAACTTTGCATGCATACCGTTATTTTGGGGGTTATGGGATCATATCCGGTGCCACCAGAAGCAAAACTTACACCAGTTTGAAAATCATGATCTTGTATTAAAGGGTCAAGATATGCCGGAAGATATTCCTTCACTCCTAGTGCTTTGACTTAGAATTACATATCAAAAAATTATTGCTTTGTTAGATGAAATAATCAAAAAGTTCTTAATGGTGGTAGCGACTAAGATAGCCATGCATCCTTTTTCTTAATCTTTATATCCTTATGCAGTTTGAATTTAATCTAAATCTATCTTAGACTACAAGAAATTTGGGCAGTTGGGGACGACATCAGTAGGGGCGACACAAGCATGAAGGGTGACATCCACATTCATGCATTGGGAGTCAATACTCAAGCTTTTTTGCCCCTAAAGTTGTCACCCATGTGGCGTATGTTCTCATGGTCCATATGTATTCTTTAAGTATGATTTAAGATATCCATCTTTTAGACAATCAAATGACTTTGGTTTTGGATCTTTTCAGGATTGGTTTCTTCAGTCAAACCAAGAGCTGAAGACCATCAACCATCGACAAATTGTTCTTGGGTTTTTTGGATTTGGGTTTTTCCAACAAGAACATTTATATATTCACAAGTGTAATATATTTACGAATTTCTTATATATATCATATATTATATATATATATATATATATATATATATATATTATATATATATTATATATATATATATATATATATATATATATAAGCTAAACATGCATCATCAACCATCGACACATATTTTTGGATATAAAAAAACATGAAATATTGACGACACCAATAAGGGCAACATATTAAAGACAACAATGTAACATTATTGACAACTCAATAGCAGTGACATTTTAATGGTTAAGACAATAGGGAGGACTTTGATATGTATCAGCTAGCGGCACCCATGTCACATTTATTGCCTTAATTTCTTGTCGTGTGCCCAATATGCCCAATGAGATTTTATTATGTTTAAGTAAGGTAAAGAATGTACATCAAAATACTAGGGTGGCTTCTTGACTTTTGCAAAACAAAAATAACAATGTTAACGAATGGCCGTAAATAAAGTGTGTGTTTGTTTTTAGATGACTGTACTCTACAATTGTATAATAATAATTTTTTGTGTATGTATAAAAAACATTGTATACAGATTATCGTCCTTTTTTAATGTCTGCAAAACCAATACATTATGTAATTTGGATAATAATTAGGTTTTAATATATTATTTATTTTTAATCCGGATTTGTCTATGAATACTTTAATAATATTGGTAGAAATGTTTTCCTCCATAATATTTTGGGCTGATAATGTGAAAGTGTCTATATATATATATATATAATGATTTTGTATGTGGTTTAATAATGATAAATTAAAATAAACAAAATGATAAGTTGGTGATTAAACATGGCAATTATAAGAATAGTTGAGTTCGTCCTTTTATGAAATTGTTGAATTATGAAAATACTAGTGTGCAAAAAAATGTATTGACAACTATTGATTCAATATAAGGTCAATGCTTATCCTTTTTCATTGATTACTATTTCATCCAAACAGAGAAATTAAACTGGACTTGGGAACTTGATTTGGTGAGTACTTCGACCAGAAAATATCAACCTAATACGGTTAAAAGTTTAAATATATTACATAGGTTGAACCGTGTGGTCCAAGGTAGGTTGAGGCATGGAGAGAGCATGCATAGACTGAGATGAAAACTTGTGTGCAAAATGTTTAAGATATATGATAGAAAAAAGAGAAAATACCAAAAAAGTCAGCTAGTGATTTCCCATTGGTGAACCTTCCCGTTGCTTTTCCATCCACAAAGTCCTTTCCGTAGGGGTAAAAATTGGCCTTGGTGATAGTCTTGATATAGTTATTATTACCCTGATCCAAGTAGGAGTCTCCGAATGCAATGACTGCTGGAATAGAGACATTTTCAAGTAGATTTACTGTGTCCTTGCTGTAACATATATAAATAGTAAAAAACAGATAGTAGAGAATGGCATTCGTAACTGAGGGAGGCATTGCAAATCAATATATCAAAATTTAAGAAAGAGAGATAAGAAAAGATATGAGCTATATATTTAAAATGTCATCGGTGACTCACTTATGTAGAGATAATTATATGACTTGTATTATACACATATATTATATGTAGTCACTTTCTCAATAAATACCTACATTTGTTGTTGCGTGTCATATTCCACTTTGTTCAACTACACGTATACATTTTTATTTATCTATTATGTTGGACCGGATTGTTACTAGAAGCTGTAATTAGAGTCTCTAATTCAGAGAAAGGAACATTATATATTAGACTAATTAAAAAATCGTAGTAATCATTTAGCAAATCCATGTTTTGTCTTTTAGATTGAAGGTCTCGGAGGTGATTTTTACTAACTTGGGTGGAGATAACTGTTAACCACTAACCAGACGTTAAAAAAAAAATCATTTAACAGATCTGATGCAAATATTTTTAAAATTAATCGATTTTAAAACTTATATCAATTTCTAATAAATTCAAAAAAAAAAAAAAAACAATGAACAAATTAATATCTTCAAGTATACGTTGTCGTCTACAACAAGTAATCGATACCATTTATGTTTATTTATTTAATTTTTATTTTTTTAACGGTTACCGTTTTAAAATTAATATCACCCAAGTTAGTAGAAATGTTAACCTTTAATCTAAGAAGCAAAAGCCATATCCCCACGTTAACAACCCATATCTTTAGCGGCGACATAAGTCGTCACAATTGTTTACTCACAACAAAAACTGTAGCCTGTAGCGGCAATTATAAGAATAGTTGAGTTCGTCCTTTTATGAAATTGTTGAATTATGTAAATTGTTCACTCACAACAAAAACTGTGGCCTGTAGCGGCGACATAAGTCGTCACAATTGATGACCTTTTGTCGTCGCTAATACCTTTAGCGACGACATGTCGTGTCTAAAGGGTCGTCGCAATTACCCCGTGTCGTCGTAAATGTTGTCGTCTCTAATACTCCTGTGTTGTCGCTATTGACGTCATCTCTATTGAGATTCCGGCCACCGCCGGAGTTCTTCCGGCAATCCTTCACCGGAGTGATGTCTCGTCGCAATTAGTGCACGTCGTCCGTAAATGTGTCGCTGGTAATGTTTTTTTTTTTTTTTTTTGAAAAAAACATATTTTTTATAATATTAGTTTATGTATATTATATGTAACACCCGTTTATTTATTAGATAAATAAATAAATTAATGAACAAATAGTAGCCCTAAAATAAATAATTGAAAGCTTAGGGGGTTAAAAATATAATTTCCGGATTAGTTATCAAGAATTTTTTAAGTCAGGGGCTCCGTGGTAATTAATGGAACTTAAGTTGAAAAGAATGTGAGGAGGAGGGACTAAAAATGTTAACATGGCTGAAGTTTGATCATTCAGACCTAATTTGTAAAGGGTTTTAGATGGTGGGGTTCAAATGGTAACTTATGGACTTATTATGAAAGGATTTTGGATGCTGGGGGGCTGCTTTGTAAAATATGTCCTTATTTTGAAAGAAAATGTCATGGGGAGGGATCAGTCTTGCCATTATGGTAACAAGTTTGGTGTGGAGGCGGGTATATATGTCACATCAAACCCTAACCCAAGAACTAGGTTGCAGCCGTCATCTCTCCACGTTATACCTCCCACCGGCCGCCACCCTCTCCACCTTCAATTTCCAGCCGCCACTGTGATGGAACCACCCTCGTCCGCCGCTGCTTGCCAAAGACCGCCACCACCATAGTTTCGTTGTCGGTGATGCTGTGAGCAACTGGGATGACCACCGGGAGCCAACGAATGGGTAGATTCGCTGCTCTCATTTCTTCACCGCCGGCATGATCAAGGTTTAGCGAGATGGGGGGGGGCGATGGGACTCTTGGGAGAGACCAGAAGAGTTGAACGTGGTTGTTGTAATCGGAAGCCACCGTTGTTGTTGTCGCTGCTTCGCCATCGCCATGCCACAACGTCGCTGCCGGAGATGCCAATGATTGAAGGTCCGGCGAGCCGGTTGACGGATGGCGGAGCTGAAGAGCTGAAAGGAATCACGCGCCACTGCCATTTCTTCCTTATTCCGCCGCCACCAGCCACCGTGGATGGTGGTTGTGGGTGATTATATGGGTGCGTGCTCATAGGTTATTGATGTTTCCGGTTGTTATGAGGTTGTATATGTGTTTTGTGGATCGGAAAAAGCCACTGCCACCACCGTGAGGTGGTGGCTGCCACCATGTGTCACGACCGGCCACCGCTAGGGTGGCTGCGTGTGTGTCTATATTAGTGTGTGTGTGTGTGATATCAGATTTTGCGTTGTAAATTGTAACAAATTAGAATAATGAAAGGAAAAATCAAACCACCACCTTAGGGTGGTGGCTGCCGCCTCCTGCCGCCACCAGCCGCCGTGTCGGGTGGCAGTGTGACTTGTTTGGATCGTGACTCGTTTGGATGTTTGGACAAAGGACTAAAACCCTAATGGGCCCAATGAAGCCCTAATGGACCCAAAAGCCCAAACATGTGACTAATGGGTCTAATAAACCCTAATTGACCTAAGGAAACCCTAATGGGCTTAAGGACATGGTTTTGGGCCTATTGGGCCTATTGGGCTAATATGGGTTGGAAACCCTAATTAGGGTTTGGAAAGCCCTAATGCAATGAAACCCTAATTTGGAGAATTAATCGGGACACACAGGAATCATTTGATAACTTGAAATATTAAATAATAATCATTGGCAAAAAAAAAAATTAATCTAAGCAATATTGGACTTAATGGATTAAGTCCTTACGGGATTAAGTCCTTAGTGGATTAAGTCCTTGATGGGTTAAGTAGAAAACTTAACCCTAATTGTCATTTTATGTGAAACCCTAATTTCACTTGGGTTTATTGTTGGGCCTTTCTATTGGGCCTTGATGATTGAGTTATTAATGGGCCATCCAAGATCAAGCAAATGGACTAGAATAATTAATGAGCTTTGAGGTAAGGCCGATATAAGGAGTTGGGCCCAATTTGGAAAATTGGGCCATAGATGAGCCATAGTTTGGGCCTTAATGATTATATTATATTGGACCATTAGACTGTCAGAGGTTGGACTGGAATAAATGGTTAGGCCTTAGAGTGAGACCATGTAAAAGTTTGGGCCCAATTTTCATATGTTAGGCTTTGACTCATAGTTGACTTTTGGGCCTTTGGATCGGGCCTTGGGCTTGAATCAAGCTAAGATAGGGGTAAAGCAATCTTTTACCCCAAGCATGGACCTATGGATTTTGTATTGGAACCCAATTATTAATTGAGTGTTATTTTGGTGTTGACAGTTCGGGAATCTGTCATCCAGCAGCTGGGGTTGAGTCTGCGGGACTTCAGTAGTGTGGGATTGTGTCTACGGGACTTTAGCAGTGTGAGGTGAGTTACCATCCAGTAGCGGTGGGTCTACGGCTACAATGTCGGCCCACCAGTAGGAGTTGTAAGTTAGATGATTGTCTTTGTGATATTCATCTAGGGTTGCTACTACCTGATATGTTTATGTGCTGGCATGATATTTTATATGTGATAGTGGTAGTAGAGGGAAATAGTCCCCAAGTTCGGTCGTTAGGACCGAAGGGTAGGTCGGGCACCCCAGAATTGCCTGACAATATGTTTATACTATGATATTATATGGTAGTAGTAGGAGGTGAAATAGTCCTTGGATGTCGGTCGAAAGGACCGACGGGTAAGTCAAGCACCCTAAAATGGCTTGACCTGGGTAGTCAGGCACCCCAGAATTATCTGACAGTATATGTGTGTTATATTATTACGTGGTAGTGGTAGTGGGTGAAATAGTCCCCGGTTGTCGGGCGAAATAGACCGAAGGGTAAGTCAAGCACCCCAGAATGGCTTGACCTGGGTAGTCAGGCACCCCAGAATTGTCTGACAGTATGTTATTGTATGGTGTGTGGTATGATGGGGGAACTCACTAAGCTTCGTGCTTACGGTTTACAGTTTTGGTTTCAGGTACTCGTTTTCAAAGGAAAGGAGCCGGCTTGATCGCAGCGCATCACACTATGTTTTCCGCACATGAGATCTTTGGGATTACACTCTGATATGGTTTTATGATAATATGTTTTGATTATTGACACTTTGGTTTTGACATGAGATATTAATATGAATGTTTTTATACTAATGGTTTTATATAATTACTTAATTAAAACGAAATTTTTGGTCCTGAATTTTGGGATGTTACATTATAAAATGTAGATTTGATAAAAAAATATATAAATATATACATACCACATTACATACAACATCAAACATAACATCATTTGTTACATATCTAATAAATCCCAAATAAATATCTAATATATAATCCATAAACTATCTAATAAATCCAAAATAACATCATCCATAACATAAAACAAGAAATACTATGTGTCTTCGTCTTCATCTTCCCCATCATTGTTTTCGTCGTTGTTGTTGACTTGGTTTTTAAAGGAGCGGATAATGTCTCCAATGGACGACACAAATGTCGGGTTTTGAAGAAAAGCATTCACATCAACATCCTACAATTAAGTCACAAACACATTAAGTCATTAACAATTCAACAAGCTATCAAACCATCAAAGCACCAAATGAATTAAGTCGTTAACAATTTACCAAACTATTAAACGGCCAAATCAATTGAGTCTTTAACAATTTAACAAACTACCGAACTACCAAAAATTACTACAAATACATCAAGTTCTTAACAATATAACAAAGCTACCGAATTCTTTAAGAATTTAACAAGAAGCTGTGTTGGTTGCGGTGCCTGTGACTGTGACTGCCATTGGGATGGAGCACTTGTACCCGCAACTGAAGAAGCTTTAGGCCCAATGCCTCTCACATGCCCCCTTCGTGTACCCAACACCTTCTCAAATATTGCAATCCAATCAATGGTGCCTGGATCACCACCAGAGTCGTCTATGTGATGAGTGTGTAGAGCAACCTCAGCAACTAAGGCATTCTGTATTTCACAAAGATTGTTAATATACGTTAAAAATAACACAAAAAAATCAACAATCTACTAGTTTAAGTAATAATAAACTTACATATGCTCTTCAACCAAAGGATCAACAAT